TATGTTGATTTTTTTTTAGGTGGGAAATGGTGAGAATAATACTTGTGAACAAAGGAACATCTCAGAAAAAACCCAGAAATTTTATCATTATTATTATTACTGTTGTTATTAATTATTGTTATTATTATCGTTCATTTGACCACATTTGCAAAACAAAGAGCCACTTATAATGTTGCAATGCTGAAGAGTGAGCTATGGCTGCTTTCTCATATTTTATTGTTTTATTTATGTAATCTTAATTATATATATTTGGGGAGTCCAGATTTACCAAATATATCATATTTACTTTTTCAAAAGAGACAATTAAAAAAAACTAAGAAGATAAAACAAGGTCCAGAACACATCTTCTCCATTTTACATTCAGATAAGCAATGATTGATTCCAGACATATAATTAGTGAAAAGCGGTACTGTATTTAAGGAGAAAACCACACTCCTACCAAAGCTGGCAGGGCAAACTATTATATATAAAGGAAGCAAAATCTATATGCATTATTACCCGGCTAGGTAATAATGCATCTGTAAACAATCAACACTACCCAGTATCAAGGACTGCACAGTTCAACCCTGAGCTACATATAGCATATTCTCTACTATTAGAATATACCTTTTTGTATACATAGATAAGCACAATCATAAACTACCTGATAGTTATTCAGGAAGGAATGAAGGACGATGACATATAAAAGGGACATCACTAAAATGTGCCAGGGCCATACCTCTTAGAATCAACAGATACATTTTGAAGAAGTGTGTACACTTATTACTGATGCCATTTTTGAATACATGAGAAGCTACTTAATGCAACTTCAAGCAAGAATACAGTCCTATTTAAAGGTGATGGAAATACAGAGGCTGAAGAAATGGAAGAATCTGGAGTAGGAAGCTCTGAAGTGGAGTACATTAACAATGTTTGGCAAAGAGAGTTCTTGGTTTATTGCTAACAGCTGTTTCAGGCAACACAAACACAGACTCTATGAATCGTTTGGTCATTGCTGACTGGACACTGTTCTGTATTCTGTACAGTGGTAGATTTTCTCTTCTGTACAGATGCAGATGGATAAACTGAACAAAACTTTCATACAAAGTCTTTATTATTGGTTCATCAGGTATCCTCATAACTCACATTTGTGACGAAGTTCTTCTTAATGTCCAATCCTTTGCATATCTGTCTTGTAGGTAAAAAGATGGTTATCTCCTTGTCCCTTTTCTCCCATCTCGTAGCGGTAGAACAGTTACCACGAGTCCATGAGTTCAGCCAAGAGTGAGGAAACCTCCCCCAACCCATCGAGGGTCAATTTAGTGACCAATCAGGATTACAGATGTGGTCACGTGACATGGACTATATTTCCCAGGATACCTTAACTACATTTACCATGATGGGGGACAGCTCACAATTGCTAACTAACTATCCAATTCCCATACACTAGCTGGACAGCACAGACACTGAAATCCAACTGACTATGTATTAGTAACAGAAATTGGAGAGATTCAGGTCATTCAGACCCATCACTTTCAAGTGCAGATTGTGGAACCGATCATGAATTATTGGTGTCAAAGAAAGAGTTGAGTTGATAAAACCAAAGCAACTAAATTGAAGAGCGTAGATGTGCCAGCAGGATTTGTCTTGAATGACATGCAGTCAGAATATTAAATCACTGATAGGGAAATTTAATATTTATAACTTATGGGAAAGAGACCTGGAGAAGCTATGGGAATTATAAGTAATATTGTGACAACCAAGTTGGAAAAAAAATCTCAAAAAGTTCAAGTGGCATTGAGAATAATTTATTATGGTAGCTACAGAAAGATGGAGGTCTTCAACAAGGATGGGAGATAATTAAAGTATGCAAACTTTCAAAACCAGATAATAAAGGACAATAAAGGTATCTTAATTAAGATGACAATGGAGAGAGGAAAGTGACAGAAGGAAAATGAAATGTTTGTAAGAATTTGAGAGAAATCACAGGAAAATGTTAATTAGGGTAGAAAATTATTTATTTTTCAGATTTCTGAACTGCCCATCTTCCTCAGAAAGGCACTCTAGGTGATGTACAATAAAATGTCAGAATATAAAAACACTGGATGAAAAATTAAAATGTTAGAATTAAAATTTTGAAATTAAAGTTAAAAGAAACACTGAAGAAATATAACCTGAATTTGCTAAGAGAAGCAAATGAAGTTAAGAGATTGAATAGCTTAGAGTCTATACAAAATCTTTTACAGAAGGAGAAAGCTTTGTAGACATCTTCAGAAACTAACACCACTAGAAAGTAAGATGTATGAGATCTTACACCAATATCAAATGGAAAAATACTTGGTGTGAATGAAACTTATTGAACTTCTAATGTTGCACAAGAAGAGGCCATTAAAACAGTCACAGCTCTATATCTGCAAATATTGAACAAAATTGTGTGATGTAGGGATGGAGAACTTTGGCATCTGAGCAATTAGGGAGATTTAGCAGGGTTGTCCACATGGCATAGCCCAGAAAATCAAGATGGTGGACTGGAATAGTGTGATTTAAACTCTATTTTTTATCTGCATAGGATCTTATAAGGAACATATAGAACCAATGAACAGGCAGGTTTCAGGGAAAAACAGAGGAACACAGAATCAGATTGCTAACATAAGGTGGATAATGGAAAGAACAGAAAGATTTAAGAAGACGGTTTATCTTTGCTTCATTGATTGCAGCAAGCTTTAATTGCATAGATTATCTCAGAAAGTGAATGTATTGTTCTGAAGAGTCTTTACAATGAATTAGACTCTATTATTACATGAATTGAATTTCAAGAACAAGAATGGTTCAGAGCAGGACAGGGAAACAGTTAGGGAAATCTTCAAAAGTGTGCAGGAACTCACATGGAAACTACATTATTTCCTTTTGAGTGGGTAAAGCTCCAAGACCATTTTTGAGGCTTAAAAGGTGCTTCAGGCTGTCTCATCCTGCATAGGGACCCACAACCACTTATACAGTCCTAGGAGACACATATCGTCCCAGCATTGCTTTAATTTTTATATAGAATGCAAGACTGGTCGAATAGGAAGTGAGGAAGGCCGGACTTGAAACTGGAAGTCAGAAATGGTAACATGCTATATGGACATAAGTAAGATTTTGTCAGGTTTATTGCAGGTAGTTTTTTAAATTTATAATTGGAATTGAGTTGGAATTACAAACATAAATTATTCTGGTGCTTATACGGGTCATCGTGTGTCTGGACCCGATTTTTTGCTATTTTTTGCAACGGTCATTAAGCTAGTGCAGCGGTCATTAAATGAACACAGTGGTTTTAAGTAAATACTGTGGCGTTTAAGAAATTCTATTTCACCCAGTCTGGTGGGGGTTGCCAGAAACCTGAAGTAAACACTGGAATGAAGCAAAGAAAAAAAAACCCACCCAAAATTGCACTTATGTAACCCTGGAATGCTACATGTAGCTGAAAAGGTAAGCTGGTTGACAAGTGCCCAAAATGTGATCTCATGTGTTTGTGTGTGTGATAACTTTGAGGTCAGGTTGTAAGTAGCTTTTGGGAGAGTAACTTTGAACAAATCGATCGGCCAGAAGTCGACACCTGTTTGTATGAAAATAAAAGTGGAATATAAAAACCCCAGGGTTAATGTGAAATAGTGAAAGGAAGGCCATGTCACCCAGCCTGCCGCTTGATCTCTCCAAGGCGGATGGAGAACTGGACCTGACAATTTTGCTCTCTTACAATTTATTTATTTTATTTGTCAAGCGATTATAAGATAACAGGTATAAGTATAAACATAGTTATGAATACATGAAATGGATACATATAAGAAACATACAAAGAAACAATAGGACAGGGATGGTAGGCACGTTGGTGCACTTATGCATGGACCAACATATCAATCAAGCACATACAATCAAGAACATCAATCAATCCAATCAATCAATCCAATCAAGCACATACAATCAAGAAAATACATGATAAAAATGGACACACATCGGAGAAGGAACAAGAATAATCCTCCGGAGGATTGACAAACTTGACAAGATAAGGATTATTTCTATGACAACCGTAATAATAATAATAAAAAAAAATAGTCGAAAAAGCAATGGTCTTCCCAACGGTAACCTGTCGGGAGACCTTGTGGCAAGCCAGAAAGAAGGGAGACCGAAGCGGTCTCCGGATCTACTAGGAAAAGGCATCGAAATCCACTTCTACAAGAAAATCACTAATAGCAATTGTTCAGACGGGCTTTGGGTCACTTTAGGGATATCCGGAGGGTTGCAACGGAGTCGCAATCCAAGTCGCTTGGTGAGGAATTGCCCTGAAAGGACCGCGGACCGCTCGATCCGTCCTGGGACGAGATAAAGGCTCGACTGCACCTGGCAGGCAACGATCGCCAAGCAGAAGCTCCCCTATTTTAGGCACAGGGCGTCTTCGGCGGAGGGACGGGAGGGTCGGGGGTTGCAACCCCCCCTCCCCAAGATTGCTGGGAGACGCCGTGGATCAAGCCGGGGGCAGAGAGGATCCGCGGTGGGCGTCCCTGGAAGAGCCTCGGAGGATCCCGAGCGCCTGGGCGACGTGAGGGAGGGGGCGGCGATCGACGGCACAGCCACCAACGAGTCCAGCCGCCTCGACGGCACCTTAAACTAAATTACCTCGCGGGCGGGGTCTCGAGGCGCGTGCGCGCGCGTGCGGGCGGGACGGGGTCGCGGGGGGGGGGGGAGAGAGAGAGAGAGAGAGAGAGAGAGAGGGAGGCCGGGAGGGACGGGGAGGAGGAGCCAGGTTGGAGAAACGAGGCGCTGGTTGGCCGCCGCTCGGCTCAATGGGCGGGGCGTCTCTTCCACCGCCACTGCTCACTCACTCACTCCCTCACTCCCCCCATCCCCGCTCTCTCTCTCTCTCTCTCTCCCCGCTGGCCCAGGTGCTGGTTGGCGGCCTCCCGCCCGCGCGCCCCCGCCGGCGCGCGCCTCCCACTCCTCCTCCTCCTCCTCCTCCGCTCCCTCCCTCCCCTCGAACTCGGCTCGCCGTGCCCGCGCGCGCCGCTTTTCGCCCGGGCTGCGCTCGGACATGGCGGCGGAGCTGAGCGCCGAGCGGCTGCGCTCGCTACCCGCCAGCTGGAGCTTCGGCATCAGCCGCGGTGGCCGCATCTTCTTCATCAAGTAAGCCGGCTGGAGCGGGGGCGGGGGTGGTGGTGGAAAGAGTGGGTGGTGGGGTGGTGGAAGGGAAAGGAGGGCGGCCGAGGCGGGGTGATTCCGGGGGTGGGGGGGTGTCGAGCTCCCCTCCCTCAACATCTTTCCCTTCTCTTCTCTCCCCTCCCCTCCCCCCCACACCCTTTGGCAGCGAGGAAGCGAAGAGCACCACTTGGCTGCACCCGCTGACGGGCGAGGCGGTGATCACCGGGCACCGGCGCAGCCCAGGTAAGGCGGGCACTTTCCTCTGGAGGGCATCGGGCGGGGAAGTGTGTGTGTGGGGGGGTGGGGGGTGGGGGGGAAGGGAGGGAGTTGTTTCCACCATCCCTGCTTTACTTTTCCCTGCCCTGCCCTCCCCCCCTCTCCGTGCACCGGTGCCCCTCGTCTCCTGCACCCCTGCTGCCTCCCCGGATTTGGAAAGCCCCCCCCTCCCTCCCGTTGCCTCCTTCCTAATTTTAAAATTTCCCACAACCAAATCAACATTTTAATGCTGCCCCGTTTTTCTCAACTCTCCTCCTCTCCCTTCTCCCTTGCCTTGCCTGCCAGCCTCTCCCTGAGTTGGCCTTTGGCCACCGAAACTGACCCCCTTCTCTCTCTCTCTCTCTCTCTCTCTCTCTCTCTCTCTCGGACTTCCTTAGGTGTATATTGCTCTGCATTTCTCCTCCCCCCCCCCTTTCCCAATTCCCCCCTTCTCGGTTCTGCAATTCCCAAATTTTCCGGTTGGTTCCCTCCCTTTTGCTGCATCCCTCTAAGCTTTAGCCTATTGTTTCACTGTAATTGAACATAGACACCCATCCCAAAAGTTTTGTTACTTGGCTGGCCTTTTTTTTTTTTTTTTTGTGGTGGTGGAGGGGGGAGGGATGGGTATGGCAACTCAGGTTTGGGAAGAAGAACCCGTCCTTTTCTTTCCTCCTGTGGCTCAAAACTTTCCCTCTGGATAAAAAAAAAAAACAACCAACCTGTTCCCTTGTTTTTCCTTGACCTTTTGACTCACCTATTTGCTTTTCTTTGTGCCACTTGCCCTTTGGTTGAATGCAAGATTTTTTCCCCCCCTGTTCAGTTCAAGACTACTGTACTATCATTTATTTTGTGGCAATACGTTTTTCTCTGCTCTGTGAAAATTGTTCCTCTCCCTCATAACTTGAACCAAGGAGATTTTATTAATTGTTTCACCTTTCATGCAATCATCACTGAAATACCTTCTCTCCCTCCCTCTCTCTCTTGCTCTAACCTTATCTCTTTGTCATTTTATCTGAAGCTCTTCTTCTGGGATCATAAACCTGCCCACTCCTTTCTCACACCCCATCCCTTTCACAGCATCACCTTGTCTTTCTGTTCTCTCCGTTTATCCTTTAACCAAGTAATTCCTAAGTTAAGGGTCCTGGACTTAGAATATTGTTTTGAACTCTGTCTAGGCAAGTCAGGCATCTGATTGGAGCATCCCTGTAAATCCATTGTTATCTCCTAATGATTGACAGTTTGGGCATCTATGGCCCTGTATTTATCAAGTAAAAAATTCCTCTGGTTTCTTTGTCATCCTTTAAGCCAGCTTTCTCCCTGTGTTTAAAATGCCTTTTCCAGCAGTATATTGACTCTGGATGAATATTAGCATCCCTGTTCCAATTCTGACCAGGACCTCTGTTACTAATCTACAAAATACTCGTGTTATTGGCATCACATTTCTATCATTTATTTTCAAGTTATTGCATCCTTAAACCCAACTAACTTTTAAACTTTCTCATGTATGCTCACTTTTGCTGCTTTATTAGCCTGCCTCTCTGCATGGTTGCTACTCTTCTTTCTCCAGGTACACATCCAGAGAACTAAGAGGTGCCCATGTATGTTAATTTGACTGCATTTGCTCAAATGAATATTGGGGGGGTTAGACTCTGCCATTTGTTTCTCTGGAGACGAAAAGCAGCAGAGAAGGTTCTGGCTGGAAAAAGAATAATTGGTTGCTGGTATAGCACATCAATCAACAATGCCATGGGGAAATGGGTGTTGCTATTCAGCAATGCAATTGCTCCCCGCTTCTCTTTCCTTTATGCAACTGGATGTATGAAATAGGGGAAAAATAGGAAAGGCAATCCAAGGATATTTGGATTAGGATGACTGGTCTGGCATTTTTGCATTATTTTTTTTTTTTTTTTAGATTTCATTAGTCTTTGCTTTTGACTCCATGTGACCTGGGACCAGTTTCAAGGCAGAGTGAAGTTCTTTTGTTTATCTCTCTTCCTAGTCATAGTTATGGGAAATGTCATGGGATAGTTTATAGCCAGCTGTGTTTCAGAGTCAGAAACCAGAGCTGCTGGTTAATTGAGAAGAGTTCCCTGCTCCTTGTATAATTAGTGTTTGTGTTAATTGAAAAAGTCCAGCAGGTAAGGGGAAGGGGCAGATGCGCTTGAGTAATTTGGCTGTTGAACGCAATTGTTTTTCTCCTGTAATTCCATCCTGGTCTTAAATTAATGCTTTTGCCTTTACTGAAGGAAGTTTTTTTCCCCCTCACATTTCAGATGTATTGTGTTTCATTCTACCATTTAAATAAGTGCTTTGCTTTGTTTTGCAAGTGCCAAAATATGTTAATGTCTCTAAGAAAAAAAAATCAGTTTTGGTTGCTTTTAAGGTATTTTGGATAATGAACAAAGCCTTGTTTTTAGACAAATGGAATTTCTTCTTCAGGCTTGCATGGCAAATTCTGAATACTCTTGTGATAATATTTGGATAAGAAATTGTACCAATCAGACCTGCTGTTTTACTCTTACATGGAAATAACATGTGAAAAGCTATATTACGCTGGCTTGTATAACCTTTTAATTGTGATTGTGGGAACTTGTTATGTTTATCTTGAGGAAAGCATCTCTGAATTTAATTGCTCTTTGTTTATAGAATGTTTACCATGCAGAAGTGTTCTACATCAAGGTCCCAAAATAGCTTTAAATGTCTCACCAAAATATTCTAACACCCAAAGTATTTGAATTACCTGTGCTCAAACATATATATGGGACTATTATAAAAAGCAAAGCCAGCTGTATTTATGCATAGTGCAGTAGGTGAAATGACTATTTTAAGCAGTGAGCCTTGTAATTAAGCACAGCTTTAGTGATCTATTTTCTCCACAATGCTTTGTTTTTTGTTCTAAAGATGAGAATTTTGAATTTTGTTTTTAAAAGGAGATTCAAAATATTGATGTTTAATTGATGACTATAGAGAAGCAGCATATCTCTCTTGCCTCGTCACTAGATTAATAGTGAAAATTAAATCTCTGTACTACAGATAGTCCTCGACTTACAACAGTCCATTCAGTGATCGTTCAAAGTTACCATGGCACTGGAAACTGTGGCCGTTTTTCACAGTTTCAATCTTTGCCGCCTCCCCGTGATCCTGTGATCAAAATTCAGCTGCTTGGCAATTGGTTTATATTTAGGACCATTGCTGTTTCCAAGGGTCACGTGATCACCTGTGGTAAAGTCAAATTTTGAGGTCAATTGAGAATTGAGGATTACCTGTATTGGTTTACTTGTGGATGCTTCCAAGTAAAACTTGAAAATATAGCTAGATCAGGGGTGTCAAACTCAATTTCATTGAGGGCCACATCAAGATTGTGGCCCTCGGGGGGGGGCGTGCCAGGATTGGTGTGGCCAGCTCGACGTCACACGTGTCGGGGGCGCCTTTGGTAGCCTGAGCGTTCTGCCAGCGAAACTGGCTTCCAAGATCCATTTTTGGCTACAATGGCCTCCTGCAACCCTCTGCCAGTGAAAACGGAGCTTGGGGAACCCTTCTGAGCTCTGTTTTCACTGCCAGAGGCACTGTGGGCCAGTCCTTCACTGTTTCCAGGGCGGCCCTGCAGGCCAGATCTAAACACCCTGCAGGCCAGATCCGGCCCCCGGGCCTTGAATTTGACACCCCTGAGCTAGATGTTGATACTTGGACATCAACTATGTGTAATAATGTTTAACTAGATACCATTTTAGTAGTTCAGCTCAGGTATTTTACGATTGGCACAACAGCTACATGAAGTGAATGAAGCTAGTTAACTTAAGATGTGGGAAGACATTTTTCAGTATCTCTATCTGTAGTTGAAGAGATGAACTATAATACTCAGAAATATTTGTGGCAATACTTAAAAGTCTTTAGGATTAGTTATTGAGCTGTGTTTTACTTTCATAATTTAAATCTTATTTGCTCTTGAGTTCATAATGAGTCAGAATTTGGGGCATCTATGAGTTATAAAATTGTTTTCTTTTGAAACATTGTAGAATAAAAAGCTAAAACAATGGCAAATGCTTAGTGCAATAAAATGATTTTCAAACATATGATGAGACTATTTTTTTCTACTCTAGATCTACCCACAGGTTGGGAAGAAGCATATACTTTTGAAGGTGCAAGATACTACATAAAGTAAGTGAAGCTCAGCATGCAATATTTTGTTGCGCCTGCTTATTACTATATACTTTGTCTTAAGGAGCCTTATATTCTTTTCAAAGTGCAGTTTGGTGGCAAGATGGATGCGTGAGATAATCTGTAGAATGGGATTTTGCTATGTAACAACAATGCCTTATGGCAGTAGCTTAAGGGAAGGAAGAATGGCATATGTTTCTGATTCTTGCAGTGATTGTTTGAGATAGGTGAAACTAAGGAATAGCAATTTGATCATGACAGCTAAGGACTACAGTATTTGTAAAGGTTTGGCCCTAATGGGAAATCCAAATTTCTCACATAAAAATCCAACTTCTGCACTTATATCCTATATTTGGGCCACTCTAGGATGGTTAAATTGGGAGTTATGCCTTTCTGTGCCATGGTGCTCTTATTTTGATGGAAAATGTAGTGTGGGCTAAGGAAAACATAAAACCCCACATCCATGGGAGTATTGTATATGTTTGCCATCTTGAAATATTTATTGAAATAAATAATAAAGGTGGGTAAAACATCTAATAAATAAAATACACTTACATTTGAAGAAAAAAACAACAAAGAGTTACTGCTCTATGGGTCCTCCTGCCTACCTAATCTGAGTCTTAGATGGCTGCATTTATCTGTTTGTATCTGTGACCCTGAAAATGTGGGGTAATGATAATAATTGGAGGATTTTGCAGCATGTGAGGATTTTTATTACATGATGAAAAGCTTCAGAAAACGGTCCATATGTATTTCTATTTAATTTCTGGCTATTGAATAAAAAAGAATGGTTTCAATACTTTAGGTAGTCTTGGGAAAGTGTTCTTCATGGAATCTAGAGAAGCCACTGGTAGTTACCATAAATAGCATCATGGATGGTTAGACTATGTACTTCTTTATTCTATAAAAGTTTGAGATGATCTCTGTTGTCCTACATAAAGAACCTACTACTTAGTGACAAACCTGCTGTTCTAGTTTTGATATTCTTAGGAAATGGACATACTTGTGTATTAAATGTGATTGTGTATTCTACACAGAAATATAACTTATTCCACTAAATTTCCTAATAGCCCATTGGAACAAAATACGGCAGAATAATGTAGAGAAAGAGTGGAAAATGCTGAAGTCAGTAGCATATTGGTTATCGTGCTGTTTTTGTAGAAAATAAGCATTTTTGAATTTTCCTGTTTTATGATTTTTGTGGTACGTTTAAGTACAGGATGTTATCAGAACTGTTAAATGGTGGGCATGTGGCTGATAGTGCTTCATCATCAAGTTATTCTGTTGTCATTGAAATAATTACCTAAATATTATGCCAAAGCTCAGAAAGCATATGCTCCTCTTCTTTAAAGCTTTCTTGACATAATTTGGTAATGAAATGTTGTGTGACTCTCTGGTGTAAATATGCATATCTTGCAGAATGCATTGAGTTTATGTGGTGGAATGTAATCCAGAGTCCCAAGAGGAAGGGGCTCTTTCCCAGGGAGCAAAGGGACAACGTAGCTTGCAATCTTCGATATGCAGGAAAAGGGTAAAGATGGACCCCCCTCCCCAGAGGTTTACTGAATATATCTAACAATGAAGCAAATAGTCTGGCAATAGCTTTAGTCTGGCAAGATTCCGGTCTATAGATGAGCAACAATAGAGAAACTACTGTGTCATTCTTGGGGCTGACAGTTCATGTCATACAGAATATTTCGGTGGGTGAATGAGATGGGCGGATTCTAAATTTAATAAATAAGGGTCCACGACTTATAATCATAATTGAGCCTGGAATTACAGTTGTAGGCTTTGTGGATCGTTAAACAGGTCATCATGGTGATCGACTTGATTTTCTGATATTTTTGTGGCAGTTGTTAGGTGAAGCACCATGATTGTTAAGCGAATTCATCGTCATTAAGAGAACTCTGTAGTCGCCAAGTGAACCGATTGTCTGCAATGGTGGTATTTTCCAGAAATCAGAAGTAACCAGTTTCTGGCAAAAATAAAGTAAAATTGTCAATTGCAGTCATGTGACTGTGAGGGACTATAAATGGCCATCAATGTGGGCCAGTTGCCAACTGTGATCACATGACTGAATTGGGGGAGGGTGGCCATCAGAACTTCAAATCTGGGTCATATGTACCTATTTTGGTTTTGTCGTAACTTCGAACTAAGCAACCTGTCATAAGTCAAGGACTACCTGTAAATAAATACCTTTGTCATATAAATAATAAAAATGGCAGCTTTTCTTAGGTTTAGGCTGGTAATCCATTTATTCTGGCAGTGAAACATTCTTCAGAGATTGATTCACAAAATTTCTTACAGCTGGATGTCAGATTCTTCTCTTGAGAAGAGCTCCCATTCATTTTTTTAATTTATTAAGTTTCTGCTCCTTAAGGTAGATTAAATCATGTTAAGCACATAAAATACAATAATATAACAATAAAACTATCTGACACCTCTAAGGATCTAATAGTTTGGTCTAGCTGTTTTAGCTGTGTAAATTTGCTTGTATCATTTGCTTTCATGTTTACATGTGAACCTAGAAAGGCACTCAAACTTTGAACTCGGATCTTTAGGATCATTATAATTTTCTCAGCACAGGTTGTATTTGAGAAGGCAAATGTCAATTGTTTAGGTCTGAGATTCATAGATGAAAATGGTATCATAAAACTACTATACACATTCTAGCACTTGACTGATCTGGCAAAGATATTTACATATGAAGCTTCTAATCTCACCTGGTATTGATTTCCCTGAACCATGGAGAGGGTTTAGGGTTAGGGTTTAGGGTTAGAGTTATGCTCCTTCCATTTGCAAAATAATAGAACTCAGGTCTACCATTTGATCCCTAACTATTTAGTCATTTTATGAAATGCTCTGCAAATTTTCAGAAGGAAAACTTGTAAAGTGAAAAATGAGGAAAACCTATATGCAATAGTAACATGCAGGTAGTCCTTGACTTATGACCATAATCGAGCCCATGATTATGGTAGTTATTCCTTGCACTTGGGAGTTAAGGAATTACATCAGGGGTCCCCAACCACCGGTCCGTGGACCGGTACCGGTCCGCGGAACAAGTCTTACCGGGCCGCTGGTTGCTGGGCGCCTCCATCTTTTTTTGATAAAAAAGTGCTTCTGGTGAGCTTTTCCGGGTAGAAAGCTCACCGGAAGCACTTTTTCATCAAAAAAAGATGGCGGCGCCCAGCTGATGCCGGTACCGGGCCGCGGCATAAAAAAGGTTGGGGATCACTGCATTACATGACTGAAACTGATTTTTCAGCATTTTTTGTTTCTTTTCTTTAAGGAAATCCATTATACCCAATTAGGCATTTTTTATGGAAACCAGAAGTAGATGCCAAAAGCCAGTGAACAATGTCAAAATTTGTGGTGACGTGACTATGGGATGCTACAAATAAATCGTTATATATATGAGCTGGTTGCCAAGCACCCAAAATATGATCACATGAGCATGGGAGTACAGGGTGCAGATGTTGTAACTTCAAAATTAGATCTTAAGTAGCGTTTGAGGGAATCAGTCATAACTTTGAAGGGTGGTAAGTTGAGGACTCTCTGCACATATTTGTTGTATTTATGGCAGACTTACTTGAGACATCACTAGAAAGCAATTGCAGATTTGAAAGGCTTGATCTCAAACATAGATAAAATAACAATATGATTACTTAATGAAAGCAATGACAGGAAATAGCTTGTTCAAATTGCAAGTAGGATTGCAATGAAGTTTCCTAAGTATACATTTTCATCAGGTCCTTTAATGAACTGTGATTATAAACAGAGGTAAAGAATGTGGTGAAATCACAGAGAGAAACAGCAGTGATTCCTATTAACAACCAAGAAACCTTTTTAAAAATGACCACAGTAAAACAAGGAACATGTTCTCTTTCCTCAGTAAAATTGCTTATGACAAGCTAAGCTAATAGCAATTGTTTATCATTCCATTTTTTCACTTGTATCTTCCATCATGCATTTCCAATATTTTTCCATGGGATATTTGATGCTTCTTCCATAGGCATGGTACATATTTTTTTACAAATGTAGTTTCTGGTCTGGAGTTAGATCTGGAGACTTTCTGAATTATGGCTGTCGTACCAATAAAATCTGATAAGATATCTTTTTGCAAACAGGTGCCATCATAGATAGCTTGAACATTTATTGCATAAGTATTCCAAATCATATGGGGAAATCTATACTAATTAAAAAGAGTATATGATATTCATAACATTAAATTACTGTTGTCTATATTGTTACCTGTTTTTCCTTCTTGATGTTGTTTCTGTACTAATTATATATTGGAAGTGTTCTCCAGAACAAAGACTGGTAAATGGAGTCTATTTGTTTTGGGTAATAAGGTTTTGTCAGAAGTTGTGATAGCAGTTTACTTTTAATGAGCTTAGTGAAGGATTTCAGGTTTTATTGTAATTCAATTTAGTAGAGGAATACAGATACTGCAGTTTGATAGTACGGGTTAAAGGAAAAAAATAGATTAGTTCTATCTGAAAAAGTAGATACTTCTAGCATTGGAAAATCAACTATTTTATTTACTAAGAATTTAAAATAGACAAGCGTACTGAAATTCCTCATAAACAAATTGTTCTTTGAATAATCAGAATTTTAATGCTGAACCCTAAAAAAAGATATTTAGTTCATAGTAGATTTCAACTCATGGAGAAAATATGTGGACAGTAAGAGTCAAAAAGGAATTGATGGCCCATAATCAATCAATAATGTTTTCAATAGAGAAGAGTAATTGAAAATAGCTTCACTAGTTTCCCTTTTACCATAAGTTGCTATATTACAAACTTAATTGAAACTTTGGTACTATCTCTTACAATGACTTGAAGCATCAGTTAAAGTACCTCAGGAAGTAAAAAGGGAAAAATGATCTAAGTGAAGCATTTTCTCCCTCAATTTTTTTCATGTCTCTCCATTTCATGTTCTTGTTCAAGAAAAGTGAATTATCTGTATTGCATTTTGCATGTATGAAGCCACCTAGAAAT